GTGGTGAGCTGGATAAGGAATGGACACTGGTGGTATGGTTCTGTAAAACGGAACTATGCACATCATGACGTGAGGCCTGTTATGCATGTATCAATGGCGTGGCGTGCTATATATCGATTGTTATGCCATTTAAACCTATGGAAAAGGATCGATAAACAAGGTGTTCGCAGCGAACACCTTAATAATCGATTCTTTACCATAGGTTTAAATGACATTACAATCGATACATCGCAAATTGCGCGAAATTTAAGTTTTGTAAACCTATCTCTTTGTGGACAAGGCCTTCCATTCATAAGAGATGAACGAAAAAATTATGAAAGAACAAACATAAATGTGGTTTAATTATTTTAACTTCCGTCGCGCCACGCCGCGCAGACCGCGCCGTGTTTGGCGCAATGCGTGAAGTATTCCGACAGTCTTGTATGTACATACTATGATTTTCACGCCGACCGCTGCTGAACGCACTGTGTTTGACGCAATGCGTGAAGTATTCATGCATTCTTGCAGGCGCTATCCGTTTCACGCTGACCGTAGTGACCGCACTCGCACTGTGTTTGATGCAATGCGTGAAGTATTCGTGCAGTCTTGTAGGCGCTAATATGTGTTATATGCCGATCGATCGCCGCGCCGAGGGCTCCTCCTTTTCATCTCAAGTCCTCGTCATCATTTCTCTCCAAGTCGCGCCGTTCCAGGCCAAATTGCGTGTTTGGTTTCACTACTCGACTAATTAAAGGCGCTGTCACTCGTATCACTGAAAGACGACAAAATTAGAAATTACTATACTCTCAGGAAATGAGAGATTTTGTCGCCTTTTTTCGTTTGTAATTTTTGTTTGTTCTAAGTCCGATTTTTTTTATAAAAAAATTGCAAAATTTGCCGCCATGGGCCGCGGCCCATGTGGCTACCCCCTTAATCCGGCCCAGGGAGCCTTCCTCTTGAAAATTTTCGAAATTTTAAAGCATCTAATATACAGTTCGGAGTCAATTCTGTCATTAATAATTACCAAATAAGAGCGTCCTTTCTTCTTTCGTTTCCTTTTCTTCCTCCTTGTTCTTGGGCGAACGGGGGGGGGGGGNGGGGGGGGGGGGATTCACGCCCTTGCGCCCCCCTCCTTTGATGATTTGGCATCCCTTCAATGTTCATATCACGTTTTTCAAGAGAGGATGCAGAAACACTATGATGCACATCATCGAATTTTCGGGGATTTGAGCCGAGAGGAATCTGTTTTAGCATACCTATTGTCAATTCTGTGAACATTTTTCTTCATCATCGGAATTCGTACTCGAGACCTATTCACCATAAGTCAGACGACTAGGCCCGGTTGATTGTTGAATCGTAAACAAATGGTCTTGATCGATAAAAAGAATTCCTAAGATAGGGATAGGGCTTTACCTATCAAGTTCATTACAGAACGAGACAATAATCGACCTGCTGGCCGGCTTTATATATCATTTGAAAAGCGACAACTTGGCATCGCTTCGCAGCTCTGATTGGTAGATAACTCGCCTTGATAGGACATCCTATTCCCACGTTCACGCTCCATAACGATTGGACGTATTCATGCTAAAAAGAGCTAAGCCGCACAAACACTGTATATGCACATAGTTTCTTTTAGCAGAAATACGTCCGATTCAAAGCCAGGCATCCCTGCGACCGCCGGTTTAACGAAGAGGAAACTCCTCCATTATTGGCGATTTTCCGAAAAACCGATAGCGGAACAACCGTATGTACATTCTGCCGCTCTAAGGAAGAACGCCGTATGAACATTCGATTGTTGCCAAATTTCTCCTGAACATAAATTAATTTTGGAAGAAAGTCGTGCTTTTTTCCCCTTGAAATTTTCTGATATTTTAGATGAAATTCCGAAGAAGATTGTATGAAGAAGTGGAGGAAAAAATTTTCATCTTTCAATTTTTTTGCGTTTTATCGAAGGAAATTTGGCAACGGCTGAAGGTTCATGAAGCACGGGCGCATTGTGCACTATGACGGATCTTATTCAAGAATTTCGATGATTAAAAAAGTTACCGTCCTTACATGGTTATTCATGCGGCTACTGGTTAAGATAGTACACGCGGAACGCTTGAAAGTAATTAAAGCACTGAACAACGCGGAGCTCCCAGTGAGAGCATTAAAAATGCAGTTCTTGCCGTCAGCGGTGCATGTAATCTGCGTTAATGGAAAATGAAGTGAAATACTGAATTGAATAGGGCTTAAAGAAAAATCCACGTCCTGAAATCAACCACTCCATTACCCATTACTGAGAGAAAAATGGACGTATTAATTCTAAAAGGAACTATACTGCCGTGCTAAGGAAGAACGCCGTATGAGCCTTCAGATGTTGCCACATTTCCTCCAATATTATTCAAATTCACCGGGAATTTTGTGAATATTTTTTTTTTTCAAAATTTTCAGACGATTTTGTTTGAGATTTAATCTAAAATATCTAAACATTTCGATGAAAACAATACAAGGCTTTCCTCAAAAATAAATGTTTTATTCGAAGCAATTTAGGCAACTCCCGAATGTTCATACGGCGTTCTTCCTTGGCACGGCAGTATATGTTACCTGCAAACCCTATGCACATAGTTCCTTTTAGCATAAATACTTCCAAATATGGACTCGTGAGCTTTGTCACGATGAAATATTCTGCCGTGCTAAAGATAAACGCCGTATGAACATTCGAGAGTTGCCAAATTGCCTTCGATGAAATGTTAATTTTTGAGGAAAGCTATGAATATTTTACCTTGGAATTTTCGGGAACTTTAGGTGAGATCACAAACAAAATTATCTGAAAAATTGGAGGAAAAATATTGAAAAATTTTCCCGAAAAATCGGGATTTACTGAAGGAAATTATGCAACGCCAGAAGGTTGATACGGCGTTTTTCCTTAGCACGACAGCATTGGTCGTACTCTTCGGTTCATGAATCCGCACTTCTCAGTTGCTCTTCACTGAGTATTCTGCAGACAGAGGAAAAATCGAGGAATTTTTTTGGAATTACATCAACTACTTAGTTTTCCATAGCAAAAATAAAGCATTATAACAGGAAATCTGCAAAGCTGCAAACGGAGATACGTGGTTTCGCACAGTGGCCATTACGGCCAATTTGGAACACTGCTACTCACAGGCAAACAATTGAAATCACAAAAATGTCAGAAATGAACAGTCTTTTAATCAATGAGAACATATGCGGTATTTACAAAACATTTATGCACAAAAATAATAGACATTTAAATAGAATAATTACGTAGTTTAAGGGCACTTGACAATTTACAGCCAACCGCAGGGCAATCAAACTAACCCTAGAATTTATTAGAGTGTATCATGGTAAACGAAGAGGTAGAAATAAGAGAAAATAAAAAGAGAATGTTCCATCGGAGAATTATTGCTCCCCGAGTGACTGAAGAAGAAACACTTATCACGGTAACTTTCATTTCGTTAAAACTAGTTTCATTCGTGTCCGAACTTCGGATCTCATGATCGTCCTGGGCTTTACATCTTTGTGGCTCCTTATATGAATGTAAGCGCTACGTAAAGAAAAAAGCTTCAGTTCATACAGAGCACAAAATTTTTTTAGCTCACAATTGAAGGGCAAAGTGAATGAAAAAAAAAAGTGGGGTTTGGAAGACAAGTGAAATAGGTGTATTTTTTGCTATTTCAATAAAAACGCGTTTTTAAAGTTTCAAAATTACATGGAGCCTTATGGCAGAGAGGCAGTTTAGACTAACTTATTGAAGCTTAAAAATTGGATTTTGGTGGTGAATTTTTCGCAGAATTTATTTTAAGACTAGTTTTATTATAAATCATGAATACTTCAATTTGCTTCTTTTAAAAAAAAAAAAAAAAAAAAACTCCACTTATGTTACCTACTTGTCTTCCAGGCTCCGTAATTGAAGTTCTTTGGTCAAAGGGACAGAACTTTATTGCAGGTGACCAATAGTTCTGTCACCCACATTCAGCCTTATATTCTTCACCTAGGAATTCGGTCATCTATTCCAAAGTTAGGTTTCGTTTCAATCATCAAAAATTTTAATTACTTGGACCAAAAATGTTGCTGTTCCACATGGACCAAAGTTTGTTTTCATTTCTTTTCTTTTTTGTGCACACGATTTAAACGAATTGAACCGAAACTCTGCAATACAAATGATCACACCGTCAAATATTACACGAGTCGAGAAAAAAAAGTGAAAAACCTCTCTCGTCGGAACGTGTAGGATTCCATCAGTTCGATGGAAGTAGAGTTTACTATGCTGCCGTGTTGAGGAAGAACGCCGTATGCACATCCAAGAGTTGCCAAATTTCCTTGAATAAAACATGTATTCTTGACGAAAATTATGCACATTTTCCTTGAAATTTTCAGATATTTTAGATTACATTGCGAACAAAATTGTCTGGAAAACTTGAACAAAAATATTCACAATTTTCTCAGTAAATTCGTTTTTTATTGAAGGAGATATGGGAACGGCAGAGGGCACTTACGGCGTTCTTCCTTAGCGGGGCAGTATGCTGCCGTGCTAAGCAAAAACGCCGTATGAACCTTCGAGCGTTGCCAAGTTTCCTCCGATAAAGACCAAATTTACTGGAAAAATTGTAAATATTTTTTTCTAAAATTTTCGGACAATTTTGTATACAATTTAATCTAAAACATCTGAACATTTCAAGGAAAAATATGAATGAATATTGTCAAAATACATGTTTTATCAAGGGAAATTTGGCAACTCTCAAATGTTCATACGGCGTTCTTCCTTAGCACGGCAGTATGAGAGAGTGCGCAGACAAAAATTTACATACAAGAAAAAGAAAATACCGGTATCGACGAGAGGCAAATTATGCCTCTGTGTGGGAGTTTAAATTATAGAAAATTATACATAGGCGGAAGACTCAAATTAAACTATTTTTAGACTCATTGTGTCGCTCATAATGAGTGAATAATTGCAGCGACAAGATAAGGAGTAGTTACATTTCAAATCCATTACACTGACACCGTTCCTCTTTTTCTCCTGTAATTATCACCTGAGTCGCGAGACTTTCTTGATTGCGAAAACCATTCAAAACGTAGGATAACGATGCTGTTAGGTACTCATCGCGCACCTAATTTAGTTAAAAAAGTATTAATTAACGGCATGTTTACTCAGACGTTACTAATTTACAGATACGTTCATAATGAATGAGACCTGTGATGTAAGGCAACGAGCATTGAACGATGTCTAGGTGCATTAATTATTGAAGAAGAAAGTGTTTACGTAAGTCTTGTAAAACACCAAAAAGAACGTAATTTCTCTCGAGTGATCCCGACTGCCCTTTTCTTGTTCCCTGAAATACGTAATTCATAGTGTCTTAACGTAACGTAGTTTCTGCGTCATAGGTACAGCTATCTTTTCGACAATAACTATTCAATTGCCACCTTGCAGTCACAATTTTTTAATTTTACGCAATGACAAAAAGAAAAAGGAAGAATAATGATTGATAAAAATAAAGAAATCGGAGAAAATTAGCTTCAAAAATCTTAAACCTAACATTTCTAATTTTATCACAAGCGAGAGGCTTCCTTGGAGAGGATCTTAACTTTTTTCCCCCGAGGCATACTGGTTTCGCCGTGAGTTTTCGGCTGAATATTGATCCATCACACCTAGAACACATTTCAGCTATTCATTCCCAAAAACATCTCGTTTATAAAGTCTGACCAGGCTGAAAGTATGCGAATGCGAATTTAACCGTTCGATTTGAGTGGCTGAATGCAATATTTCACCTGCGTATGCTTTCAGCTTGTGAAAAAAACAGCTGAAATGTGCCTCGAGGCGTGGCGTGGATCCACCAACTTGCCCCTAATGTGAAAAAGGATATGCGACGGAAAAATAAGCAGGAGGGAAACAAATTCAAATATTTACATACCAACGTGAAATCCTAAGTCTTACACTAATCGTATCACAATGGAGGTACTCCTAAAAAAATAGAGTGATATTTGTACGATGCAGTAGCGTGGCGTGCTTTGCGATACGTCGATTGTTATGCAACTTAAACCTATGGAAAAGGATCGATAAACAGGGTGTCCGCAGCGAACACCTTAATAATCGATTCTTTACCATAGGTTTAAATGGCATATCAATCGATATATCGCAATTCACGACACGCCATCGGTACGATGTTGAGCATTCATTCACTCGATAATCTGAATGGCGTCTTTCTCGTTCATATAGAAGGTAAGGGTAGGCTCGGGGGTAGTTGAAGTCCTGGCGGTGGTAGTGCTTTGCTGTTGGGTCTGGGTTGAGGCTTGAGGGTTGGGGTTGAGGTTGTGCTGCATCCGCTTGAACTTGCTGAGGGTGGCTTGGATTTCAGCCTCGGCGTCCAGGGCCAACTCCATAGGCAGCCGTTTCAGGCTCAGCCCGACGAAGTTCCCGAAGGCGTCCCATTCGTCTTCGTCCTCTAGGAGCTCCTGCAGGCTATCGCCCACCTGCTCCAGCTTCCGGAGTGCTGACGTCACCACCGTGCGACGCCGTTTTCTACTCGGACCTGGTGTGGAAAAGGGTGGAGTAGATTCGGGGTCACGGTGCACTGAAAAAAAAACTCCGGCCGTGGGAGCCGCAGTTACGGGCTGTATAGACATGCCGTCCATTCCGGGCTCAAAGGCCAAAAATTCTGGCTGCTGGAGGCGTAGCTTTGATTGATCCGGGTTCAGAGGCCGAAGCTACGGCTCCAGCAGCCGGAATTTTCGGCCTTTGCGCCCGAAACGGACGGTATGTCTATATATAGCCCGTAATTGCGGCTCCCACGGCCGGAGTTTTTTTCAGTGTGGTGAAGATTTTATCTTAAAGGCCAGTTGCGCTGATCACAGAATCGTGTTTTGATGCTTGATTCTTGTAGATAAGCTAAAAATAAGAGGATCTGTCCAAACAGCAACTTTCTACGTTCAATATTAGACGAGATATTGCCTTTTGAAAAGTCAGGTTTTTGACGTCATCCACCGCGGTAATGACACTCTTAATTTCTTCCACCTTGCTATTCGTCAGTCAGTGATGCACTGGTTACTCACAGGGCCGGATTTATCTACTTGCCGCCCATGGGCCGCCTGTATTTTGCCGCCCCTTCTCATTCGTTTTGGAACATCAATAAAAACCACCAAAAGAACGGGCCGAAGGGGAGAGGTGCATAAGACGCGTTTACTGGAGCGTTGGACACATTTTTTGCAAGAGCCCCATCAACACTACTAGCAAAAGTTCACGGATCTTTGCGCGAAATTTAGGTTCCGTAAACCTATCTCTGTGTAGACAATGCCTTCCATTTATAAGAAATGAACGAAAAAATTATGAAAGACTAAACATAAATGTGGATTAATGATTTTAACTTCCGCCACCGCGCCGCGCAGACCGCACCGTGTTTGACGCAATGCGTGAAGTATTCACGCAGTCTTGTAGGCGCTATGCGTTTCACGCTGATCGCACTGTGTTTGCCGCAATGCGTGAAGTATTAGTGCAGTCATGTAGGAGCTAATATGTGTTACATGCCGATTGCCGCGCCGAGGGTTTCTCCTTTTCATCTCAAGTCCTCGTCATCATTCTTCCCTAAGTCGCGCCGTTCCAGGTCAAATTACGTGTTTGGTTTCTCTCTTAACTCAACTAAATGAAGGCGCTGTCTCTTGTATCGCCGAAAGAAAACAAAATTAGAAATTACTATACTCTCAGGAAATGAGAGATTTTGTCGCCTCGTCTCGTTTGCAATTTTTTTTCTGAATCCTATTTTTTTTAGGTACCTACAGTTAAAAAACATTCAAAATTTGCCGCCATGGGCCACGCCCCATGTGGCCTCCCCCTAAATCTGACCCTGGTTACTCAATAAGAAAATTGGATAAAAGCAAGGTGAAAGAAATCGAGAGTGTCACTGCCGCGGTGGATAACGTCAAAAACCCAACATTTCGAAGGGCGATATCTCTGTTAATATTGACCGTAGAAAGTTGCGGTTTGGACGGATCTCATTAGTTTTGGCTAATCTACATGGATCAAGCATCATAACACGATTCTGTGACCAGCGCAACTGACCCATTATTCACGGTAAGAAATTAAATGTTGATTTAGCATTTATACTGTTAAAAAGATGTCCGACAAGTTTCAAATGCTGATTTTACATTTTAACAAATGCTAACGTAACTGCGCCCACTGCAAAACGTACAAATTAAAATGTTATGTTAGCACTTTTGTATTGTAAAATCAGCATTTGAAACTTGTCGGACAGCTTTTTAACAGTATAAATGCTAAATCAACATTGAATTTTTTTCCGTGTTGGAATCCGTTGAATAATTTATTTACAGCGTGGATTACTGTCATGCGAAGCAAAAACGCCGTGTGAGGCTTCAGACGTTGCCAAATTTTCTTCGCTAAAATCTTATTTTCACGGGAGTCTGTGAATATTTTCCTGCTTTTTCAGAAAATTGTACTCACGATAAGATATAAATCATCTGGAAACTTTAAGAGAAAATGTTCATAACTGTCCTCAAAAACAAAAATTTTATCGGAAAAAATTTGGCAACTCTAGAGAGTTCATATGGCGCGCGTTCTTCTTCAGCGCGCCAGATTACACCTTAACTCTGAGTCTATCAAGCTTTGCTTATAGCAGTGTAAACTACAGATTGAGCTAGGATTTGCCTTCAATTTTACGCGATACTACAAAACTACTCCAAAGCGCGAATAGTTGCGCGATTGACTCCTTCATTTTTCGTTGCTAGTAAATGCATTCTTAAAACTGCGCACTGCGTAGTTAATTGAACACAGGGAGAGCTAGGAGAATTAGCCTTCATTGCCGTGTGATACCATAACAATAATGTGATGGGCGAATAGTTGTGCGCTTAATGTCCTTTGTATACTGATGGGAATAGCGATACACTTATGGACATTCGTAATTTCAAGCAGGGAAAAGCGAAGATTTGCTGTCATTACCGCACAGTGGTGATTCTTGAAAGTTAACAATACTGTTTTCCGTCCATTTAAATACATGTAAAACAATCGATTCTTGGTGAGGCATCCTTACCAAAAATCGATATATTTAATGTATTTAAACGGAGGAAAATCAATGTTGTCTACTTATAAAATTGCCACTGTTGCCAAGTACTCCGAGGGGCGAATTGCTGCAATCTTAGTCAACAAGTCTCAGTGATTGGAATTAAAGTAAAAGCTGATATTAGCCTTCATTTTTGCGTGATACCATAAAACTACCGGAGAGCGAAGAGTTGCGAGCGTGATATACGTCCGCTTTTATCATTAAGGATACTAAAATACATTCTTAAGTTGCCGTGATTGTGAGACTGAAGAAGTCTATAATTCGCCTTCATTTTCGCGTGATACTACAAAACTACTCCGGAGCGCGAATAGTTGCGCGCTTGATACCTGCTTGCACCGTTGCATCAATGTACATTCCTAAGCCTACAGACGCTGTTAGTGCTACGTCCCAGAAAAGCGATATATATCGATTTTTTTGCATTTTTAGCATTGAAATAGGTTATGTCGATGTTAATGTTTGGATCCTATTCGATATAACGGAGAATTCCTGTGATGACGTCGCCACTGATAGCGTCTACACGTAATAATTGTAAACGAGGGTTCATTGCATCAGAAAGGAAGTATAAGGCTCTATACACTTATCACACACAACCCTAAACTTTTTTTTGGCGAAGAGGGAGAGAAAAACCTCTTTTCCTGAATACACGACTTGTACTTTACTTGTTAAATGAGACTTTGACATTCTTACCCGCGCTATGGTCTGGTGTTGGTGTTGTAGGATTATCATCCATGTGATTTTCGTAGTTCTGTGAATACTCATTGTCAGTGTTAGGCCGTGGTTCTTCAAAGACTGGTGGCTGCTCATGAAAAGCTATGCTTGGCTGCTGCTGCTGCTGTTGGAAAATGTGCTCATCGATTTCTATTTCTTCTCCATCATTACACATCTCTATGCCGATGCCATCCTTCTCATCCGGTTCTTCAACTTGCCTTGACTCCAATTTGTTCTTTTCTCTCTGTTAATTGAAAAGATATGAGTCTAAATTTTATCCTACTATAAAACAACACGGCTCTATGATTTTGAATAACCCCTAAAACATTTAACTTTAAAGAGCGCTTGGATTTGATTCGAATGGAATATCACAGTATTCATTTTTTCATGAGAACCATCGGACCGTGTTCAGCAGAAACGCATCAATTTGCTTCGAGATAGATTTGAAGTTTCATTCCTCCATAGGGCTCATTGTTTAGGTTCGTTGTAAACGATCAAAACTAAACACATTCGAAATTCGGTGGGAAAGGCAGCTGACAAAATCCGCTCAGTCCGCTGCCTTTCCTACCGATTTTCGAAAGTATTTAGTTTTGGGTTCGATCGACAAACCCGTGAATCAATCGACAAACCTGTGAACCAATCGGCATAAGCCGTGAAACGATCGACAAAATCCGTGAGTCAATCGAAAAATCAAAACGTGAACCGATCGACGTGATTCGGTCGACTCACAGCTTTGTCGATTGACTCAAGGCTTTGTCGATCGACTCATGGATTTTGTCGATCAGAAAAATCCGTGGAAAGAACGACCAAATCCGTGACAAACCCGTGAGTCGATCGACAAACGCATGAATCGATCGACAAAAGCCGTGAATCAATCGACAAACCCGTGAATTGATCGACAAAGCTGTGAGTCGACCGAATCATGGCGATCGGTTCACATTTTGGTTTTTCGATCGATTCATGTCGATCGAATCGAAACCGGTTTTATGATAATTTGTCCATCAAATCGGTGTCGATCGATTCACGTTTTCATTTTTCGGTCGATTCTTGTCGATCGAATCCATACCCTCCTGAAAAAAGTGCGTCCGATCATTTTCGCAACTCGGAACATACTGCTGCAGCTGGTCCAATCGACGAAAATTCGAGAAATTGACAGCGGACCCAGCGGACCCAGCGGACCCAGCGGAGAAAATCCACGGATTTCGCTCCTTAGGTGCCGTGCTACAAAATGTTAGCGTCTTCTCGCCCTCGACTCGGTAGCAGCGTTTTCCGCCGGCGTCCAGACGCCGCGGAAAAACGCGCCTTAGGTTCCGCATCGACGAGATTGACGTCGTCGTTCCCCTCGCAAGAACGGAACTACATTCCAATGTTGCCAAATTTCCCCTCGCAAGTCGCAAATTGCAGTTTCAATAATTGAACGTATTTCTGCCAAACGAAACTATGTGCATTATGACGTGAGCCCTGTTATGCATATATTATCATGGGTCGCAGGGTTCATGTCTTAATGCACATAGTTCCGTTTGGCATAAATACATCCAATTGTAAGAGAATTTTGAGCATTCCTAACTAAAAAGTTCACAGATCTGTTTTAATTTTATCTCGAGCATCCGAAAACCTCACGGGAAATTAATTGAAACTTTCCTCAAAAATTCTTTTTTCGGAGAGGAAATTCGACAATTCTTGGATATTCATACGGCGTTCTTCCTTCCCACGGAAGAGTAGGAATCTTTCGGGGCGGACTTACGTAGTAGAGCGACGGCTGGTTATCCCTGATTTTCCTGACGAGCTTGTCCATGGTGAGGAACCACTTCATCTGGGGCTGGTACGAGGAGCCCGCGTTGATGGCCTTCTCGATCTTGGCCACCTCCTGGGTGTAGGTGTTTCGCAGGTTCTTGATCTTCTGCTTGACGTCGTTGATGCTGAAGTCCGGCATCCGCATCTCCGCCTGGAGCTCCTCGTAGGCGTCGTTGCGCACCTTGTTGTTCCGGTACTCCGGCAGCGACGGGTCCCACAGGCACTGCCGCTCTTTGTACAGCTTCACGAAGCGCAGCGTCTCCGCTTCCTCCCAACGAACCGGCATCGTCCGGCGATCTGACTCAGAGTCACCGATCACGACACAAACCTGCGACAAAGGAATCAAAATAAGTCAGTTGCACTGGTCTCCTTAATAAAAGTGAATCAGCCTGACGTCAGGCTATGTTTCATCAACTGCTCTGAGTCGGACTGAGTCAGGCTGCTGTCAGACTGATGTCAGCCTGAATCAATCCGACTCAGCGATGTCTATGAAACATAGCCTGACGTCAGGCTTACTTACTTTTCTCACTTTAACTCACTTTTCCGAGGGCTCAGAATCCTGTTTTCTTACTTGATTCTTGTAAATCAGTTAAAAATAATAAGATCTGTCCACACGGAGAGAAAAACTTCATGCGTGGGACCCGAAGTTTAGGTCATATGGATCTCTGAAGTTTTCGGATTGAGCATCTGAACACTTTAGATCTAGCTGTCGAGGTTCGGATCACACATCTGAAACTTCAGTTCTTACATCCGAAGTGCTTCGGTTCTCACAACCGAAAAACTTCGGTTCTCACATCTGAAGTACTTCAGATGTAAGAACTGAAGTTTCAGATGTGTAATCCGAACCTCGACAGTTAGATCTAAAGTGTTCATATGCTCAATCTGAAAACTTCAAAGATCCATATGACCCCTTCGGGTCCCACGCACGAGTTTTTTTTCTCCGTGCAAATAGCAACTACCCAACACGTTGTTCAACATCCACCTATAGGTAAGACAAGAGTTGAATGTTGGAGTTCTTGAAGTACAAACTTCCACCACCGTTGCCAAGATGAAAATGGAGGGTCTTTTTTTCACTGAATGAGTCCCAGGCTTGACTTTCACCGAATAGGTTAGTTGCGCTGGTCGAAGTATCGTGTTTTGATGCTTGATTCTTGTAGATCAGCTAAAAATAATTTCTCTCCAGACAACAACTTTCGACGTTCAATATAGGCCGAAATATCGCCCTTCGAAAAGTCGGGTTTTTTACGTCACCGACCGCGGTAGTGAGTCAGTGTGACGCACATTTGCACTAGTTACTCAACATGAAACCGGATGAAAGCAAGGTAGAGAAAACAAAGAATGTCTTTACCGCGGTTGATGACGTCTTAAACCGAATTTCTCCAAGCGCGATACCTCGGTTAATATTGTACGTAGAAAGTCGCTGTTAGGACAGATCTTATTAGTTTTAGGTAACCTACGAGAATCAAGCATCGGAAAATTATTGAAATCAACCATAGGTAAAACAACACGACTGTATACACTTTTAAGATAGTGATTGCGGAAGAATTGCCGCCAGGGAAAACAAATTTTGACTTGAGAGATAAAAACTAACAAAAAATGCATTTTAAAACACAGCCACTGGACAATCGGGAATGAAGTCTCAAAAATGAGGCGTCCCTCGTGTTGCGCCCCTCGGCTGTAGCATATACATATCCTCATGGCAAATCCGGCCCTGATTTTATCAGATCAGAAAAAGCAAATGGTAAATGGCCCTTTTACACTCAAAGCTCAACAGGGGTAGACTAGCCCCATATATTTTCAACCAGATTTGAAGGCCTGGCTCCTTGTCAAGAGGAAGGTCGGCTTTACAAATATTAGGCCTTGACTTCCCCATAGAATGACACACTCAAACTCTCCAAATGAGGATACTCATTGAAGACGGAACCACCTACCTGAAGGATGTTACCTTGGAAACGAAGACGTGAGACCACTTGATTGAATAACACGTGTATTGACAGTAAAACTACTACTGATATAACTGACTAACTAACTAACTAGCTCTGATATTCTGAGGATGAGGAGAGAAACGACACACCACTCGCCTTACCAACGCACTTCACTCGACTGACGAGTGACGAGTAGGAGAGGGGCGAGTGGCGAGTAGGGGAAGCAAATGCCGGCCGGGTCGGCGAGTCTTGGGCAAGGCGAGGGGCTAGGAGCGAGAGGAGAGTGGCAGTGGGGAGTCGAGGCTCGTACAGTGGGCGTGTGGAGCGTGGAGCTAGCTACCCAGTCTATGGAGTAGAAGTGAGGGACTCGAGACAGCAGCTTCACTAACCTCGATATCGCTGCCAGCGCCGCGCTGCTGTGCCGACTCCCCTCACTCGCCGCCCCGGCCACATGCCGCCACGCCAGGCGACTGTGCCCGCGGTAGCCGCTTCGTGCCGGAAAATCTAGTTACCTGACATCTACTATGCCGTGCTAAGGAAAAACGCCGTATGAACCTCTATGCGTTGCCAAATTTCCTGCGATAAAAACCGAATTTAATGGGAAATTTGTGAATATTTCTTTCCTAAATTTTCGAACAATTTTGTACACAATTTAATCTAAAATGTCTGAAAATTTCAAGGAAAAATAAACATAACTTTCCTCAAAAATACATAGTTCATTCAGGGAAATTTGGCAACTCTCGAATGTTCATACGGCTTTTTTCCTCAGTACGGCAGTACTATGCTGGCGTGCTAAGGAAGAACGCCGTATGAACATTCGGGAGTCGACAATTTTCCTCCAATAAAATATTTAATTTGAGGAAAATCATGCATATTTTTCCTTGAAATCTTCGGTCACTTTAGATCAAATTACAAACAAAATTATCCGATAAAGAAGAAAAATATTCACAAATTTTCCTGAAAATTAGTGATTTTTCCTAGGAAATTCGGCAACGCCTGAAGGCTCATATGGCATTCTTCCTTAGCACAGCAGTAAGGCAGGCGATTCGGCCTGCAGGATCATGTTGGGTGGACTTCTATGTTTTCGGCCACCCCGTGTGTGACACACTAGACAGGACCAATCGTCCTTTAACGAAGAGCATGAGCAACGTCTTGCGCAGCCTATTCAGCAGACATGATCTACCTTGAAGAGCCCAAATTTTTCGGTTTCCGCGGCAACCAACAATAAGTTCACGCACTTTAAAACTGCGCCAGAAATGAACGTAAGAAGTGAACTAAAAAATTAAGAAAGAACAAACATAAATGTGGTTTAATCATTTTAACTTCCGCCGCCGTGCCACGCTGACCACACTGTGTTTGGCGCAATGCGTAAAGTATTCATGTAGTCTTGTAGGCACTGTGCGTTTCACGCCGCGCCGACCGCTGTTGACCGTGCTGTGTTTGACGCAATGCGTGAAGTATTCATGCAGTCTCGTAGGCGCTAATATGTGTTACATGCCGACCGCCGCGTCGAGGGCTTCTCCTTTTCATCTCAAGTCAAGTCCTCGTCATCATTTCTCTTTGCGCCGCGCCGTTCCAGGCCAAATTAAGTGTTTGGTTTCTCTCTTAACTCAACTAATTAAAGGTGCGCAGTCTTTTTTATCACCGAAATACGACAAAATTAGAAATTAATGAACTCTCAGGAAATGAGAGATTTTGTCACCTTTTCTTGTTTGTAATTTTTTTCTGAATCCGATTTTTTTGTACCTGCATTTAAAAAAATTGCAAAATTTGCCGCCTCCTAATTTTTCCGCCATAGGCCGCGGCCCATGTGGTCACCCCCTTAATCCGGCCCTGTTTCCAAGAATCCAGAATAATGTCGCGAAGTTCATTAAATTTGACCAAAAGTTCCCCAAAGAGAGATAAGAGTAAAAATACTATCCGGCCCGGAGGACCGTATGGAGTGGAACTCCCGTAAGGACATGCCAGATTTGGAATACATTTTACAATCAAGAACTACAATTTCTGGCTCATTTGTAAAATTGTAAAATAAAAAACGTATGTGCTTCGAAAAACTTTGGTTATGTTTTTTCGCACTGAACCGGAAATGTTAGTTTATAATTACAAATTGTGGTGTTTATATAAATGTGTAATGTGGCAACTGGAGGTGCGTCAACAAGTCGCCAGGCGACTAACTCTAGATTTGGTGACGTTGCCGGACTTACCGATTTTACTCTTGACGCTGCATGCGACCGGGGAGATGCATCACAATGCGCGTGATGCAACTGCACGGGCGTATGAAAAAAGTTGGACTTGGTGAGATTGCATGGCATGACTCCCGTATCAGTTATTTGCTGGGTGGTTCGGTGTTCGGTCTCCAATTCCATTTTCCATTCCATCCTGATGCATCACTAATCCCATTACTTCTTTTTGCCACACGCTTCGTTTTACCGGTGCGGAATTCGTTCACATATTATACTTTCAAAACAGACAGTATTACTTGCTGAGCGCTTCCGTGCTTACCTAAATCCGCGATTTAGATCGAGTACCTGAATCGCGATTTTGCAAAATTTCCACTCTTTCTCTTACATTCTTACTGAGCATTGTTTTATGATTTGTGCACACTGTGCACCAGGATCAAACCGCTCCACTAAATGAGCGCGTTCTTTGGGTTAAAATATGACATTTTTTCTGGCCAAAAGTTGTATTTTCCAGAAATTTTCCCCGTCGCACCGTGGACCGAATCAATAGGAGAGGTCGGACAAAATTTGGAAATTTTAAAAGCTTATAACTCCGTTTATACAAAACTTGGAGGTTCTAAAAGTGGTTTCACTGATTTCCTCGTGACCTGTTCTCGCAAAGGCACCCTTTAAAATTTAAAACGGAACGAAATGAACATCACAACTTGCAGTTTAAGTTAAAAATGTCATGTTCGACCTCTCTAAAGGACTCGATCCACCACTGTACGTCGGTGCAACAGATCCCAATTTTTTCTTGAATATTTATTTAGGTTTCCCCGGAATTTTTCCAGCCGCGTCAAAAGCCAAAATGAATGGAAATGGCCACTCCATTACTTAAGGCGCTGCGTTCAGCCATGGCCTTGCAAATACCGATTAGGCGAATTTCAGGGGGCACGAATGTCCCACTTACGGCATGCTTTAGGTAGGTAAAGCATCGACGGATTTTTATATTTTGAAAGTCGCCTCGATAAAAATTCCGTCTTCCTATTTCCGGCCTTAAATTTTCGGCAACACCGTGATACTACCTACTCGTGGAGGCAGTTTAGAAAAATAGAAATCCCACTTCGTAGAGCTTCGTGTTATTGGACTTAATTCTGTCGCTATCTGTTTTACTAATAATTTAAGACTACAGAAAAAAGAGAGACCTCGTATACATCCAATTTTGGTGAAGGTTTTCCTTTGTACGAGGAAAAAGGACTCGAGAACGGAGATACGGAAAGAGTCTTTATGATTTCTGTCTGGTGTAAGTAGGAGTGTGGCAGCTGCCGATATGATTTAGTAGGTACTTTTTGAGGCATGAAACATGTATTAGCGTAGCGGATAATATACAGTCCAGTAAATCTAGCTTTTTACCTCGGACAAATCAGCATAAACTTCTCTTTTGGTGTACAGAGTCTCTGGGTACCTAATAAGAATAAAAAAAAGTATGCCAAAATATTCCATCCGGAAAATGGTCAAATCGCAGTTCCTCAAAATGGCAGCTTACGGCGATTTTCCAGAAGGACCTACATTCGGTTTATCATTTACAACTCAAAAAGTATGCGTAAAACCAAAAAATTGATAGAGATCAATTTTGACGATCATAAAGTTCAGATTAAGAGTCATATTCATACCTTAGGCTTTAGTTATTTTTTCTCTTCAAAATTCTACCAATTAATAACAACTGGCAAAATTTGCTGAAAATCAGCGGTTGTTCGTCAGTTCAGATAAAACCTCTGTGTTGTGCGGACCTCTCTCACTGAAACGCTCTCTTATCAACAGATTTAATCTGATAAACCCAGTGCAGCTCAATCATTACAGTGTTGAACATTCACANAAAAAAAAAAAAAAAAAAAAAAAGCGGTTGTTCGTGTTTTTCAATAATTGTAGCCGATAATATCCGAAAAAAAGTAAGTATTCTTCAGGGGGAAAAAAATCATCAATTTTGAGACACTGATATAGGTAGGCACTCCATCCCTTAATACAATCTCATCATCTTATGAATTTTCACAGTATCTGAAAAAATTGCGCATACAACAACAATTAATTAATTTTCGATCGAAAATTGAATTCGCTCTTCCAAATTCGTTTAAAATAAAATGAATGTTTATTAATTTGAAATTAAATGTCTTTTAGCCTACGCTTCATCTCTTGTTAAGTGGACGCGTTTTGTCCAGGTTTCACGCATGGAGAAAAACCGCTTAGCAGGTGTCGACCTGTTGCAAATTCTTGGAAGGAAAAAGGTGAGCGTTAAGCTCAGTTTAGGTCACCGGATATTGCTGCTTATACTCAATCACTTCATAGATCATAAAGGTTCAGTTTCACATATTCATGCAATTTTATAACCCACAGCTGTACAGTCGTGGCGAGGAAAAAATTATCAATGAATCAATAAACAGTCATTCATTCAGCACCGTCTCAATGTTTGCATTCACGAATTTACCTTATCTGAATAGCAGGTTGATATGTAATTTATTTCAGCCTCAATCGAAATAACAGCCTCTGTCGGATGAGAAAAATTTGAAAGGGAAATAGGTAAGACAGAGAATTAGATCAAATGGAGGGTGCAATGTTGATTTCTATTGCGGTGCTGCGGTGCTGCGGTGCTGCGGTGTTGCACAATTTTTGCTGCTAGTTTGTTTTTTAAGGTAAATAACAATCCAACCTCATAGCTTAAAATTTTTCCAGAATATTCCTGACGCAAAGAAGAATAAATATGGAGGTAGACAAGTCGGAACATTATTTTACTGGAAAAAGAATAGTACTTATGCCAGTTTGTAACATTGCAAACTAAATTAGTATGTTTCTATTTTTACGATCCATATCATAAATAATGCGTGCATTATCACCTTGGGACGGATCTGCAGCAATTTGCAAACGATTCGTTAATCGATCGATGTATGAATTATTTCTGTATTTTAGGAAATGTTTTCTGTAACTCCCAGCATCAAGTCATGCTGGAATAGGTCAGTTATTTGTCCAAAAAAAATGTACGAAAACATTTAAAATTACTTCACAAGTACGTACCGAGTTTATATCTCAAATCGAAAGACAAAACTATGCTTTCGGAGTTAC